AAGCTTCGTGGTATCTTTCGCGCGCGCGGGCGACATCGGCGGCGCCCTCTTCGAGCGCGTCGACCTACGCTTCCTGTCGCGGGTCATGAGCGTCCCGGAGAAGATCGCGAACGGTTAGCTCAAGCCGTCGAAGTGCGCGGTCGTTCCACTCGCTGGGGCCTTCCTTCCTGCCATCGCAGCCGGCGTGGCCGACTATCCTGCGACCGACGCCCCCGCGTGGGTTGCCCTTGCCATCGAGGCGGCGCTGCTCTTTCTTGGGACGTGGCTTGGCCTGGCTGCCTCGGGCGGCGGCGCTGGCAGCGCCCTCTGCGACGGCGCCATTGAACTCCATCAAATACGTGACGAGGGCCTTTCCTACCATGGGACACGTAGCGCAATTCGTGCCGCTGCCCGTACAGATCCAGCAGTTCGACATTCATGCTCTTGTGCGTTTTTTCGTTTCCCTGGAGGTGCTCTACGATATGTGGACTTCTTTGGCCTCGGGCATTCGGGTGGCCCAAAGCTTAGGTTTCTCGCGCCGTCATGCTCTGCCGCGCTCGCGAGGTCGAGTCTCTCGACGCACCCTGAACATGCTGGGTAGTTTCGTCGGCTCCGCGCCGCTACTGATCAGTGGGCGCGTCTTTCGCCTTGCTTATCTACCCGGGCGGATGTCGCGATACTTCTGGAAGCTACCCTCACCGGTGGAATATCTCGCTGATGCCAATTGCCCCAACGGTTCAGGTGCTGCAGCTGCTCATCGCCTGCGTCAGGGGCAGCCCGCTGCTCGTCGAGTGGTGCAGCGAACTGCCTATGGTGCGCTCTTTCAGCAGATGATCGCCCCCTTCCTCGCGCGATGCCCCGACTGTGACTCGCCCTTGATTTTCCCCCAAACGAATTTTATTATATAAAAAACTACCGTCAAGATGTAGTCCAAGCGGTCCCCGCACAAGGCTTCAGACTTGTAGGTGATTCCGTGGGCAGATCATCCGAAGAATTTGAAGTATTTCCCCATTGCCTGAGCATCGTCTACTTTGCGTGGGCTGCGCGGTGGCCGGCTTACCTCGGCCCGCATATCGTCGGCTTCGGGCCTGCGCCCGTGCGTCAATGGCTGCAATGCTTGCCAGGGCGAGATCGGGCACTATTGAGGATTCAGGATGTCGGGGCCTTGCCTGGGGACTTGCAGTGGCCGAGTCAGGCGGCGGGCGCATGCCCCCCGCTGGCGCCCTTGACGCCGGGGTCTTCGTGGCGCTCATGATGACGACTTGATGAACGCGCAGCTCGCCACGATCATCTACCACGATCTTCGTCATCTTGATCATGTCACACCCCAGGTCCTTCTTCGAGCGGCCCGTGGGGTGGTTCGTGTTCGTGTTTTTGCACGCCCTGCCGCTGGTCGAGGTCGCGTCTCGCCTCGAACAACGTCGCCGCCGCGCTGGCGATATTTCGGATTTCTGCGATTTCTAGCACAGGCGGCACCCCGCCCCTGCCGGGCAGCTTGTCCATGGGACAACACGTTCTACATTATCTACTGCCACACCGGGCTCGCGATCCGCAGTCTTATGGCGAGATGCGCTACGAGATCGAGGCTCAGCAGGGTGCTGGGCCTGCTATGAGTCGCCGTTGTCGCGCGCTTGCAGCATTATCTCGCAACTGGATGCGGTCGCTCTTCTTGGCGGCTGCGGCTCGCGCCGACTTTGAGGACTGGATGGTTTGGGGCGCGGACATGGTAGCTGGAATCTTTTGGTATCGAGCCTTCGCTGGCCTTTTCCCTTCGGAGGTCTCGACGCTCAGCGAGCGGGCCGCGCTTGCCTCTGCCATGACTCAACTCCTCAGTAGGGCGGCAACGTCTTATTGTCCACCTTTCGGACTGCTTGCCTGAATATGTTCGCTCTCGTCTTCTTGCGCTGCGGGTCCGCCCGGGGCAACGCACCGAGCTCCGCTGCCAGCGGCATTCGTCGAGCGACTTGATGCCGATGGAAGTCGCGCGAGACGCATCGGTGGCAGGTGAGGCGCCCAATGATTTACGCCGAGAGCCCTAAGCTCAGCCGCGCCACAGATGGAGCAGCGCGCCTTCCTCGCTAGCGGAGCGATGCCCTCGTCGCTGACATCGAGGCCCTTGACTCATGTGGATCGTCATTATCTCGCGCGCCACGCGCGGAGCAGCGCCAACCGTCGAGCACGGCAAAGACCCCCGCAAAGGATCCACGCGCTTCAGAAAAGTCCGCCCAGACACTCCTGACAATGACGCCAGCCGCGCCAGGCAAAAATCCCCGGCCGCAAGGCGGAGATGCGGTTCGCGAAGAGACGTCCTGGCCCAAGCTGGCCCCCTCGGCTTCCGACCGACCTCGCATGCATCGCGCTGCCCTTGTTGATCGTGTTGCCTTTTGGTCGCACAGCTGGCCCCCGTCGCTTTACCGTCCAGCAGTGGGCAGTGATGTGCAATGGTGGATGAAGTGGTGCGCCCCGTGTGTGGCGGACGTCTTGCGCTACGCGGGCTTCAAGGATCTCCTGAACACCCCCCCTCGTGATGGGTGGGGTGGGGTGGGGGTGTGCGTGTGGGGGGGGGGGGGGGGGGGCGGTGCTATTTCCGGCAGTGCGAGTCGGTGGGGGATGGCGGTCGAGCTCTGCGTGCGTGGCTGGCACGCAGGGGCCCTTCCTGGGGAGCAGCTTCGACTCCATGTCCGGCCGCCCTGGCCCATTCACGACGGCATTCGGATCCTGCAGTTGCGCGAGAGGGCGCTCGCACACATGCGCCAGGGAGGACCGACGGCAGAGCCGACCCCGCCAGGACGCCGCCTGCGCGACGGTTTCCCCATGATTCCGAGCACCAGCTCTGCTGCCGCATCTTCTTCTTCCAATGCCACGCCTCTTTGCTGGTTCTGGCGATGGCGACACTTGGGCTGGGGTGCCGTTTCCCGATGATAAAAGCAGTGTCGACCTGCACGGGCGCCCCGCCCCGTCGAATACCGATCTTGCGCCGATGGCGGCCGGCGGAGATGATGAGGGGCATGCCGGGCGCCATCTGCAGGCTGATGACGAGGCCCCGTTGGAGGACGAAACGATGGCAGCTGATGGGTTTGCGCATCGCTTTGGCGCGTCCTGGCTGATGGACAGTTCGAGGCGCAGGTCCTGGCAGCCAGTCGCAGGTCGCGCGAGCAGCAAGACACCGTCGCCTCCGATCCCACCGCGGCCCCCTCGGGCATGCCGACCCCTAACTTCAATCCGGGGGATCCAGATGCCGACGGCGGCTCCAACAGCAGCGACAATGATGATGTATTCGATCAGCTTATGGCGGCGCGCGGCCTTGGCGCCATTTATCCTGATGGGCCCGTTGGCGGAGCAACTGCGGTCATCGTCGGCGAGGGCCCGTCTCACTCACCTGCTGGTGATTACCCGCCGAAGCTCTCGATGCAAACTCGTTGGCGCCGTTGGCTCTGCCACGTCAGTTGGAGCTCTGACGGCGGCGGGGGCCACTGCCGCGACCGCGCATGATGATGGGCCTCTTGCTGTTGGAGCCGATGGGGCGGATCTCTCTGACACGTCGGTTGGAACTCCGACGGCGTGACGCTGGGCACCATGCGGGCGGTCCTCGCGGTGCAGATCAGTCTCATATGTCGGCCGGGTGTCCGACGGCGGTGGACCCCCCCTCGCGACCGCGCATGAACTCGTGCCTCCTGCTGGCGTTCCACCTAGTGCAGGTCAGTCGAAATGTCGGTTAGAAGCCCGGCGGCGGCGGGGGACTCCCCCGCGACCGCGCGTTGTCTACGGCCTCATGCTTGGAAGTTCGACGCCGGTGGGGGCCTTTCCCCGCGACCGCACCCCGGGGCCTGCTGCTGGCGCTGCGCACCTGGAGTTCGGCTCTCTCTGAGGCTGTTTACTCGACGCTGCAGTGCGCCGACGCCCCCGCAGGCTCACTCTGATACGCTCGCGGCTGCCCAGATGCTTGCAGGCTGTCCATTACTTGGACAACACCTACTCGTTTAGCGCTGACCAGCGGAAGGTGATGTGGATGCTGGGTAACCCAGGCTCGTTGCTCGAAGCCTCTTCCAGTTCGTCGGGGCGCCGGCCACCCACGTTCATGGCTGGTGCGGGTATTCCTGTTCCCCAGGGTTCAGTCGATGAGGACTTGCTCATGGCAGCGGCCGCCGACGAGGAGCTCGCATGCGGTGATGACGATATGCAGGCTGACCTTCTCCAAGACCACCTCGAGGACGGCTCGATTGAGGATGGTGAAGAGGGCGTGGCATTCCCTGAGTTGGACGCGGCTGCGCAAGCTGACGAGATCTTTGCAGGCCTTTATGATCACATCGACGAGCGGAAATTCTCCGACAGTGAGAGAGCTATCCCTCTCGAGGGGCACGGCACGGCAGCTCCGCTCCAGCAGTGTCTCGTTCCATCCGATGAGCAGGTCGCGAACTCTGGCGACTACAGTGGTCTGGCGCCTGCTACCGCCGAGGCTCTTCCAGTGGCGGTTGCTGCACTGGGCGCTTGCGAACGCGGGCAACCACGACACTGCTGAAGCTGCTCCGGCTGTTGACGCTGATCCTCAGCCTGGCATCCCCGCTGGCTCCGACGGCATGGCCGTCGCCGTGCCCTTCCGACGAGGCTGACGGCTTGTTCGACAATTTCGACACGTCCGAAGAGCTGGTGGGCAACGGCTCCGAGGCCCTAAGGACAGGCCCCGCGGCCGCCGCGGGCGGTTGCGAGCGCGCTGCCTGAGGTGGACGGTGCGCATCTCTATGGCGTGGGATCCTCTTCCTTCTCCTCCTCCTCCTCCTCCTCCTCCTCCTCCTCCTCCTGCTTCTCCCCCTCCTCCTGTAACGCGCTCAATTCGGAGAGATCCTGCGGACCCGAGGACGCGTCACTGAGTGCTTGAGGCACGGGGGCGGATCGCGTCTATTATACTCCAAGTCTTCCAGGGGGCCACAGCTCTGGGTGCCCAGCGGACCCGCTCGGTCATCTCCGAGCCTGCGCGAGCCGATCCTCAGATGCCTCTCCCAGCGAGCCGCCCCTGCGGGCAGGCTGCCGACGCCGGAGCGCCCCCGGAGGGCCCGCCGCTGACGTTGGCGGGCTCGCTGAGACAGGCGCGTCGGTGCTGCCGCTGTGGCGTGCTTGTGCCTATGCCCAGGGATCTGCTGTATCCGAAACGCGTTTCGCTCCTGGGTCCCACAGGGTGCCAAAGTTCCCGACCACAGGATCCATTGGAGGAGGAGGAGGAGGACTAATGCTAATAATATTTGAAGAAGAAGAATAATAACAAGAAGAAGAGGAATAAGAGGGCGAATCAGAAGCATGACAATATTATGAAGATTAAGAATGATACTCACAAGACTAATAAAAAAGAAGAGGAGGAGGAGGAGTAGGGGACTTGGATGTCCTGTGCTCCTTTCTGGTTTCCGTCTTGACCGTGTCTTGGGACGCGGCGTGCACGCTCAGTTTGAGAGCTGATAGTTCCCCGTACGATCCATGAAGACGACATGGATGATCTGTTTCTCGCTTCTCTGGCTTCCCCGGGATCGTGTATTCGAATGTGCTTAGCCCACATGTGTCTTGCATTGGCAGCTCCGACATGCGCAGACCTCGAGGTGCCTCGTGCGACGTTGTGCTCCTCGCCGCGGTGCGTCAGTGGCACTTCTGGGGATCTATTCCCTGATCGATTTCGGTGCGCCCGCTCACGAATGGAGCGCTTCTGGAGTGCAGTCGCCACTCATGAAGCGGACATGTCGTCCAGCTGCGGTGGCGCATGCCTGCGCAGAGCTTGGGGGGAGGTGGGCAGCAACGGCATAGCGTGGCACGGCTGTGGCGTTGTATGGTTGTCGCATGCGGTGGAATTTCGGCTCAGGGCCTTAAATCGGACATGTCCAGGACAATTCAAATATAGAAAGGAACACATAATATGACGACGAGGTTTCGTGCTCTGTTGACTGTCCTTGATTAGTTGTTGACTGGTTTTGAATTTTCCTCCAAAGTCCGCCTGTAGGGGGACATGCCCGACCTAACTCAAGGCCCACGAGACCCAAACGGCGCCAAGGCGGCTGAGAAATATGCCTCAGGACGACCACTGTAGGCCCCGATGCCCTCACCATGCACAGGCATGGCCCACCAGGTCTCTAACAGGCGACTCGGAGACCCCACGATGAACGCAACAGGCGGCTCCCAAGAAAGACCCCGGCGCCAAAGACTCGAATGAGAGCCACAAGACGACCGCTAGACGGCCATGGCACTGGCACGAGAACTGCCGACTGCACGCCAGCATCAATCGTGGTAAGGTCGTTCGTGGGCTCAGAATGGATGTGCAGACATACCTGGCCTAGGCCAGGAGGCTTCACACATGAGTTCTTGGCCAATGAGGGGCCAGGCCAGGATTGGTGCCAGCGCGTAGTTGGCACCGCTGTGCTGAAGGTCTGGTGACGAGATCTGCCCACTGCGTGGGCGGATCTCTCAAAGGGGACTTGCGAAGAGAGACCCAAGGTAAGGGAGCTCCCAGTGGGACCGTGTTGAAGGAAAACAGGAAGGCACACCAAGACAGTGACATCCACAGCCCACCGACGCTGCCTTCCCAAAACATCGCTTGCACCTAGGCTTTCTTCCGTCTCTTCTGAAGAGCTGGGCCTGCCTGTCATTCTGGCGGTTATGTTGCCGCCGCTGCCGCCTCGTCGCCGCCCGTAACTGGACCTGTCTGTCGGTCTGGCGGCTATGTTGTCGCCGTCTCCGCCCCGTCACCGCTGTCGCCGCTCGTCGCCGCCGCCGTCAGATTGCACAACATAGAGGGCACAACATATATTTTCCTTTGTAAAAAGAGAAAAGACTCTTCCCCCCTTTCGTGAATGTAAATCATATCTGATTCTGGCCACATGACCATCCCACATATAGTTTATACTATGCCTGAGTGGCCAGTATCGGCCCCCCTGAGGTCCCTTGTACCAAAAAACGGTACGCGGGGACACCTTTTGTTATAGCATATGACTTTTTTTCACGAGTCCCTTGCAGCAAATGGGACGAAGTGCACACGCGCGCGTCGTCGCGCGCGCATGCCGAAATCCGTCAAAAACCTTCGGTGTCGGAAGGATTTCGCAATCGAGTTTCCAAAACATATACAACACATAAGGTGTCGCAACACTGATTTGCTAAAAAAGCGTACGCGCGAGATCTTGCGAAATCTTGAGAAAACCATCGGTTTTCAAGATTTTCACAACATGCTACCAAACGGGCTTCGCGCGCGCATGTCGAAACGTGTCGAACGCCCTTGCGCGTGTGCCGTCGCGAGGATCCTCTGCAAAAGACGGGACGAAGTGCAGACGCGCGCGTCGTCGCGCGCGTATGCCGAAATCCTTCAAAATCCATCGGCTTCGGAAGGATTCCAAACTCGTGTGCCAAAAAAACCTACAAACACACACAAGGTTTCGCAACACGGATTTTCAACAAAAGCGTGCGCGCGCGATCTTGCGTCGTCGTCGTCGTCGCCGTCCTCCCTCCTCCCGCGTCGTCGTCGTCGTCGCCTACGTCGTCCTCTGTCTTTCCTCGTGTTCGTCGCCGTCGTCCTCTTTGGCGTCGTGGTCGTTTCCGTCGTCGTTGTCGCCGTGGTCGTCCTTACTCCTCCTCCTTCGTCGTCGTCGCCGCCGCCGTCGTCGTCGTCGTCGTCGGCGTCGTTGACGTCGTCGTCGTCGTGGTCGGTGTCGTCGTTGTCGTCGTCGTCGGCGTCGTCATCGTCGGCGTCGTTGTCATCGTCGTCGTTGTCGTCGTCGGCGTCGTCGTCGTCGTCGTCGGTGTCGTCGTCGTCGTCGTTGTCGGCGTCGTCGAAGTCGTTGGAGACGTCGCCGGTGTCGTAATCGTTGTCGGTGGCGTCGTCGTCGTCGTTGTCGCTGTCGTCGTCGGCGTCGCTGTCGTTGCCAAGTGCCATTTGGTACCCACCGCCACGATCTTAAGAGATTTTGCAGACCAAGTTGCGGGTGGGCGGGTGGGATGGTTGCGCGAGCAGTGGCGTTGACAATTTCAAGTGCGGCAAGTGGATTGCACAACATAGATTGCACCACATATATTACATCACATATACTGCTTCACATAGACTGCGCAATCTAGAGCGTTCATCATCGATTGCACCACCCAGATTGCACAGCACAGAGCGCACAGCATATATTGCGCACGCTATATTGTGCAACGCGCACTGCACCACATATATTGCACACGACATGTTGCACAACAACACCACATCGATTGCACGAATTACACTGCTCTACAAATATTACGCCACGTACATCAGTATTGCCCCAGATGGGTTGCACCACTGTAGCCTGCACGCCAGAGATTGTAACACCAGGTGTTGCAAAATCTAGACTGGACCTCAACTACTGCACCACGTAGACTGCATCACATGTATTGATGCACGTGGCGTGCACAAGATGGTGTACGATATGGCGTACACTACGTAGAGGGCACCTACATTGCACAGCATACATACTCCCCTTTCTAAATAAAGAATTAGGATCTACCTCCCCCCCGGACTTAACTATACACTTTTCCGTATTGTGATTTACAAAAGAGTATGGTGCCCCACCGTACACCCTAAATACGAATTCGTACCATCCCAGGCAGGCCCGTATTGGATCCCCCCGTCATTCCTTGTACAAAGCTATGCGCGCACACCCGCTTATCAAAATTTATCAGGTTTCAACCATCCATGGCGAAAGACATGACGAACTGCACACGAGCGCGTCGTTGCGCGCGCATGCCAGAATCTTTGGAATCATTGTGATGCTGTAAGGATATCAAAAACGAGTTTCCTGATCACCACAGATCAAAACACATGGTTTTGCAACATCAGTGTGTATATATATATATATAGATATATGTATGTATGCCTATACATATATATATATGTATATAAAAACCTGCGCTCGTTGTCTTGCGGATTCTTCAGAAAAAAAGACAGTTTTGGTACAGATGTCTATCAACTTCTGCCGGAGTAGCCACTCGCGCCGCATGCCGAAATCATTCGAACGCCCTTTGTGCGCGTGCTGTGGGGGGACACGATCCGTGTCAAATAATCCACGCGGGTCACTCGCGCGCATCGGCCGCGCGCGCATGTCGAACTCCGTCAAAAACCTTCATCGCCGACGCGCGGACATCGGCATCGGGCGCGATCAACATCGGCGCCGCCGTTGGCCTTGCAGTCGTCATCGCCGCCATCGCCACTACCATCGCTACTTACTTTCATAATCGCGTCTGCCGGCGTCGACGCCGCCGCGACGCCGCGCGCGCCCAAATCGCCGACTCGTACTGAAGTGCCCGCTGGGAAGTACCAAGCGGTCAGCGCCACCTCTTCCGCGTTGGTCGCGCCAGACTAGCTGTCCGCTGTTCGCGCGAGCATGCGCGGGTTAGCGCGGCCGTGGAGATGCGCCAGCCCGCGCCAAGCACTCATCGCAGTCGCCGCCGTCTGAGTTCCGCAGACAAAGTTGCGGGTGGGTGGGTGGGTGGATGGGGCCTTTGCAAGGGCATAGGGGTTTGTCAATTCGTTTCGCACATCGATTATACCCCACCGCTCCCGGGATTAACCCCCCCCCTCTTCGCGTTGCAATGCGCATGTGATTCTGCCCCAACCGTCCACCCTCAATATGAATCCGCACTATCCCAGCCGAACCGGAATCGACCCCCCCACCCGTCATCTTTCGCAGACGAACAAAAACTACATGCGCAATTGTTTATCATAAATCATCAGTTTCCAAGAACACACTGCAACATATGGGGCGAAGTGCGCGCGCGTCGCCCCGCGCGCGCCGGAAACAAGCAAAATCGAGCGCCCGAGAATGCTAAATAACACGGCCTCGCAACGCAGATGTTGAAAAAAATGCAACGACCAAAAAATAAAATAAAAAGGAAAGAGAACAAAGACACCATGATAATAATAAACAGCAATAAAACTTGCGCGCGCGCACATGCAAATTCTTCAGGGAACCAGAGCTTTCTCTCTCTCTGTCTCTCTCCCTCTCTCTCTCTCACTCTCTCTCTGTCTCCCTCTCTCTCTCTCTTTCTCTTTCTCTTTCTCTTTTTTTTTTTTCTCTCTCTCTCTCTCTCTCTCTCTCTCTCT